GTACATATTTTAAGATATTTTTCGCTTTTGGAACATTTGTCGTTTCCAAGATATAACAAAAGAATCGAACACCACTTTTGAAAAAGTAATAATTTTCAGAATTGAAAAGTAGTTATCATTTTTTTAATTATATCTTGGAAACGACAAACGTTCCAAAAGCGAAAAATATCTTAGAATATGTACAAGACTTTTCTCTTTAATTTAAGACGTCTCGCAACTCTTTACGTGCTACTGCCTGATATTTATCGAGGAAACAAAATAAGCGAAAAACGTTACGGAATTTCACTCCGGTAGCAGAGTTAGCTGGCCACACCCCATTAAGATATTCCGCGTATAAATCAACATGAAGTTTTAATTAAAATTCATGTTCTTTCACTTAATTATAGTGATTTACTTATGATGAATCATATATCCAGTTCTATTAAAAAAATAACGTTGTTCTATGCAGGGATGGTTAGAATATCTAAATAGATTTATTTGGAAATGTTTTGTTGTTTTATGTTAAGGTGATAGTAAAATAAATGAAGTTGATAATCAAGTTATTGGATTTTAAAAAGTTAATTGTGTTATTTGAAATTTTGATCGAACTCATTTCTATGATCCAAGTCGAAGTTGGTTAAATGATTTAGGTGGATCAATTAATGAGATATGAAAGTTTTACCATAAATTAGTTTAATTAAAATTGCTAATCGTTTATCATATGATATACAAGTGCAACAACATAGTATGCATTACATGATAATAATCGACTTTTACGTGGATAAATTATTTTATGTCAAGGCATAGGTAATCTTTTATTAACTGGTTTTGTTAAAAATAAATAGGGTGTAGATTATAGAATAAATTATAAAACAAATACAAATTGGGATGAATAAGTATTAAAAATAATAAATGAAGAAGATGTTAACCTTATTACTTTATTAACTTTAGAAAAATGTTTTATGGCTGATGGAATAGTTATTGGATGTTGTCAACAAATCGAATAATAAATGGATTTATTTAATAGAAAGAAATTATAAGAAGCAATTGAATTTATATTAAAGTTAATTAATATTTTCTTTTATTTATAAAAATAAATAAATATTAGTTAGATAGAGAAGATTGATTGTGTTTTAATTCATTTTTATATTTATCTATTTCAAATAGAATAATATCATTATCTGTATTAAGTATCCATTGATGAAATTCTTCATCAGTTTTAGCAAAACGTTTTTCAAAGTTTTTCATATGTACACGAATCATTTGATTTTGTCCATCAATATCAGAAAAAAATCTTCCATTATATTTATTTTTAAATAATCGTTTTTCTTCACGTTGATTTAATCCTTTTTGATAATCTTCTTGTTTATTAAAATAGATTAAAGCTTTTTCACGAACATTACGAATTAATTCATTTTGATCTTCAGATAATTCATTTATGAAATAATTTAATTGATCTTGTTGATTTATATATTCTCGAAATTTAATATAAATAGGACGTTTTGATGTACGTTGTCGATTAGCATGATTAAGTTGATTATCATCAAAATAAATTGAACGAAAATATTTTCCTTCAATAATCCATTGAAAAAAATCATTTTCATTATAAAAACCTTGAATATATTTTTGATAATTATAACCAAGAAAATTAAATATATCTTTAATATTTGTTGATAATATTAATTTAGTTGATGTTGTTGTTGGATCAAATTCTTTCGTATGTATATTCATCCAAAGACCTTGTATACCATATTTTAAACCAATTTTATGAGAAATATTTCCAATTAAACCTCCTAAATCTGAATATGATAAATAAATAATTGCATTTTCAAATATATCTTTTTCAACAATAATAAAATCAATTTGAAATTGTTCAAAATCAAATGAATAAACATCACCATTATGACATATTTCTGTTGGATGAAATAAATCTTCAATTAAATTTTCAATATTAATTGATAATGGACATACAATAAGAACATCAAGATCACCAAATGATTCTTTACATGGAAATTCTTTTGGAACATCATATTTATCAATATGTCCTTGAAGTTTATTTAATATTATTTCTTTTAATAAATAATATTCATTTCGTGCATAACGTCGAGTTACAACTTTTTTTAATGCATTTCCACCCATGATTTTCTTAGTTATTAAAATTTTACATGTGTGCTTATTTATTCGTAAAAAAACAAAACATTCTCATGTAACGGTTATTTCTCAATCACTAGAAAAAATGATGCAATCATGACAACATATTTAGTCATCTATTTCTAGAAAAGAGAATATATTAGTCAAACTCATTTACTTTTATTATTTCATAAATACCAAAAAAAAGGATTCATCGATATGTTCCCTGTTCTGAAAGAAAGGGTATTACATGATCAAATGTATGCATCTTTGTTTGTCTGTCTCAGCCAATCAGAAACGAGATTTTTTAATTCAAGGCTTTTGATGAAATTTTGCTCTAGATTATTAAGGTCATAGAGTCGAATTTGAAGTTGGATTTTTAAATGTCTTATTTTTAAATTATTTGAGACTTTGATTAAAAATACTCGACCTCTTGTATCTAAATATGTAATGCATTAAAAGAAGCTTTACTGTGCACTTTGTTTGAAGATGCAGTAAAAATGTCTTAGTTATACTATTCATTGAATCGGAATATAGAAGCATTCATTTATATGTAGATGAAGTTATCAGCCGATTCGAGTAATACTGCCAGCTATATAAGAATATCTTTGTGTTTTATTTGTTTCGGAGTTTTTTACCAAGATATTTTTTAATTATTGTAAGGAATATTCTATATAAATCATGCAGAGATTAAGTCGATTGCATTTTTGAAATCTTTCAGTCAATGCTAAAAATAGATAATGTCTTTTTGATAGAAAATAGTAAAGAATCATATTCAAACATTGAGAACACAATCATATAAACTATTTGTGCACAATAAAAAAACAAAAATGAAAGAACAAAGAATTCATACTCATATTTTACAAAGAAATATCATGAATCGATACATTGTGAAATTTATTCTTCAACCAAAATCGAGAGAATTATTTTTTGTTTTCGATTTAATTCAACTCATAGATATGGTAACATAACTCTCAACTCAGTTCAATTTAGTCAATAAATAATGATTTCGTTTTCAATCAAGCTCAACTCAATCATTCTATATTCCTTGATTACGATAATATTGCTCGAATATTTCAATAAAAATCAATTCAAGATTATTATACGAAAAAGTGTGAAAAAATAATAATAATAATAATAATAAACTGCAAAGTAGTAGTGTATTCTACACTGTTCGCTTATTTTTATGGTTCATTTAAGTTGACGAAAAAAGAAAAGCATCGTTCGAAATGTTATAAAATATAGACTATTCATTTGCTGACTCACAAGTTCTATATGAAGTGATCCTATTGACTGTGGACCGCTCAAAATCTATGTAGTTTATCTTAGCTAAAATCCCAGTATTTTGGGATAATAGGGTCCTATAGGTTCGGCTATGAAAAATCCAATTATACCATTGGATAGAACTTATCGAGTTGTATTTGGAACATGCTTCGAGCTAAATCGCTGGTGATATTATACGAATCGGTTGCTAACTTCACCTACGCGTCATTTATGTAAAAAGTAACAGTCAATATAGCCCGCTCTGTATAGTGTGATATTTCGTTTACCGAAAGAAAGGATATTAGATAAGGAAATTTATTTACTTTTTGTCTGGACGAATCCAACGTCAAACAGATTCATATTTCATATTTTTTCCGACTGAAAATTCAGCCAATCAGATATTTAGACCTCAATTTAAGTCAATTAGATGTTTTCTTTGGACGCGGGTATAGGCATTGACTTGATGGTGAATATGATTGTCTTGGATAAGATGAGTGTCGATTAGGTGCTTGGGATGAGTATAGATGAATGAAAATCTTCTCTGAATTTTCGTGTACGTCCATATTTACGCCAAAAGTTGAGGTATAAACATGGTGATGCTATCCACTTATTTTATTGGAGAAATAAGTTATTAATTTATTCATAAAAATAACTGATATATAAACTAAAATTGCAAATGTTTTTATTGATAATGTGTCTGGAAATATGCGATGTTTTCTTTCAGTTGTCTGCATAATGCTCCTCGGTTAAAAAAAAAACAAACTTATCTGACCTTTGTAAAAAGGTTGAGTGAGGTTGGTTATGAAGTGTCAGGTTAATTGAGTAAAAATGAATGGATTCAATGGTGATCATTAGTTCATTTCCAAGAATGATTAAAATAACATGAATTGTTCGAATCAATAATTACAAATCGACAGAAATCAATTGGTTAATTCACTTTAATGAAACGATCTATCAGTTTTCGTCTTGAAAATAGAGCAGTTTGATACAGTTTTTAAAATCGAAATAAATGTTGTGACTATCGAGATCGAATAAAATTGAGTAAAAATGTAATTTCATTGACTGCATATTATTGTAATTTTTTCTTAACGATTAAGTTGAACAAGAAGATCAGAAATAAGAATACATGTTTCTATTATAGAAAAATTCTCTTAATAGAAATAGTCTTATTTGATCATATGTTTTCAGGATAAGATTTAACATTTTTCATAGGAAAAAATTGATTATTATTTTAAAATCGATATATGATGAGAAATCTCATGTTTTTGATCAATATAAATAAACAAATATTTAAAAATTGTTTTTCTTTATATATAATTATATTTATGAAGATTAGCCTATTTATAGATATAGTCTTTTTATCTAATTGTAAACTAATTTACTTATTTATGTTTAAAAGACAAAAGACATTTTAATAATTAGAAATCGACTAATAAATTGTTATCATCTATAAATAATATGATAATTTCGAAAAGAATGAAAGGTTACATTCGGAAAAAAAAATATTCTATTATAAATGATGTTTTTGTGTTTTGTTGTTTATTAATACAAAAGATATTTTAAATAAAAATGCTAATATTCTATATGGCAAGATTAAACAAGAACACAAACAAATAAAAATAATAAATTTAATGGTCAAGAATACGTAAATTGCCAGAAACAATTTTATTTTCAAGTATAGCACCGGTTGGAATATCAATACGATCACCATGATTAGCTATTATTATAACAGTACCCTAACAACAAAGAAAAACAATATAATTTATAAAGAATTTTTGTTTTGTTTTTTTATTAAGAATATATAACATACACGTAATGAAACACTTTTACCAAAAGTAACATCACCAGATACAGTTAAACTATCAAGTTCAAGACAATCCGGTATACTTTGAAATCGAGATAGAAAATCTTTAACCTTTTTGTTTGTTTTTTTAAAGTAAAAAAAAGAATCAATTAAATTAAATTAAAAAACAAATACTTTAATAAAACTTGTTCCAAGTTTAACCAAAGGTACTGCTGGAAATGAACGTTGAGCATTCATAACTAAATTTCCACGATTAAGTGTAAATAAATTTGACATAACCAATAAAAGATCTGATGTTGTTTTAACTGGAAGAAAACGACGACGTGGAACATTAATACCTAGTTTTTATCAAATATATATATATATATATAATTATTATTTTATTTATTAAAAAAACAACAAAACCTTGTGCTCCTTCAAAACTTTGTATAGCAGCTCCACTAGCCGTTTCTAATTGAATTACATTAAGACCATCATCCATTGTCTTTAAACAAATATTTTTTGTTTTTTTTTTCTCAAAAAAACGAAGCTAAATATTACTTTATGATTAACAATTATTTCCATTTGTAATGTTTTATCTTCAATAATACGTTTAATAGCTGGAAGATTTACCCATAAATTATTTGTATTAAATATTCTTAAAGATAATTATTAAAATAATTTGAATATATAATTTAATTTATAAATATTTACCGAAATTTACTAACACTTTTAAATTCATCAACATTTTCTTTGGGTACTTGAGCTATTTCAAGTAAACGTAATTTTCCTTGATATTGAATTAAAGTTCCACCCTATAATATTTATTTAAATAAAATCTTATCTTAAATTTATTTTAATTATATTTACTTTAATATCAGCTCGTGTTTTATCAGTTACTTCCATTATAAATTCATGTTTTATTTTATCATTTAATAAATATTTAAGAATATCTATTCATCAATTTAAAATAAATAATTTAAATAAAATATTATTCTTACATAAATCAACAGTTGCTCCAAGATTATCAATATTACTTAAAAACATATATTCTTTTCCTTGTTCAATAAATTGATCAAGTAAACCAGATTGATAAAATGATTGATATATATCACCATGACCAGGTGGATACCAACATGAATTATCTGAACCTTCAATACTTTTTGCTACTGGTAATAATGTTTCACGATCAAGACGTGGATATCTTTTTTTTTTAAAAACAAACAAACAATAATGATTTAGTTTATTTTATTTTAAATAAACTTACTTTGATTGATTAAAAGTATAAATTTTAACTGAAACATGACTATATTTTTGAAGAATTTTTTCGGTTTCTTCATGTGTATTAAATGAATTCATTAAAACTAATGGGACATCACAACCATAAGCACGATTTAATTGCTACAAAATAAAAATATAAAAAATGTGGAAATCTCGGATTTATATCCGAGAGTTATGTGTACTTCAAAAAGTGAATGAGACAAATCGGTCATTCTAGAATCTATGGATATAAAAATTTGCGTAGCAAACCTTTTCTATAAACCCTTGAATTCCATTGCCTACTGTTCAACCGTAGGACTTAGGAGCGTATAGACCTCAAATTTCACCTGTTCGACTTTATTTAGCCTGAGAAAGTCGTTTTTCCTATAACATGATTTCTATTGGTCAATACTCAACCAATGGGGCTTCGAGCCAAATTTAGTGCAGATTCTAGTTCTCCGTCCCAGACAACCTTCGATTATCATCTCTATGGTCGACAGATAGAGCCCTAATTGGTGATCAATTAGAGCGTGCACAAAAACAGAACCGATTCTTCCCTATTTATCTTTGCGATGGATGAGATAATCTTCCTGTTTCCTCATGTTTTATATATGATTTTGTAGCTCTTGAAATTCTCTATCGAATAGTATATAATAGTTGGGGTTTTAATTGACTATGATAGGACAAGTCTTTTACGAAAGCGGCGATGGGTCGATTATTCCATAGGAAGCTATAGGGAAAAATGGATATTTTTGCAATAACTCAGGTACGGCTCGGCCGATCCTTCGCAACTTCGAACTCGACCGAGATATTGTAAAGATCGAACTGTATAGAAAATTTTATCGTGATCGGACTCTCCTTTTGAAAGTTATCGTGTAAACGGCCGGACATACTGACCGATTCAAGAGAGTACTCACTTTTTGAGTACACAAAAAGAAAAAAGTAAATAATAGTTTACTTCAAGTTGTTGAATAGTTAAATCAAGAAAAGTAAGATCATTTCGTACAGAAATAACACTTTTTGGTCCTTGACAACCCATTGTTGTACCAAGACCACCATTTAATTTAACAACAATTAATTTATTTAATAATTCTTTTGCATCATCAATATTAACTTCAAGTAATTTTTTATATGAAATTATCTTTAAAATAGAAAAAAAAAGATAAAACTAAATATGAGAATATAAATTTACTGTATCTTCGGGTGGTGGTAATATATCTTGCCAATCAATTGATGATTGATCATTATCAAGTAAATAACGATTAAATAATTGTTCATATTCATCAAGTTCTACTTGAGTATTCTTTTAAAATTAGAGTTTTTTTTTTCGAATTAATAAAAACAAAAAAAAAAATTATTTTTGAATACAAACTTTTTGAGATTGAGATTGATTTGTTAATACAAGTTTATTTAATGATTTTTTAAGTCTTGTTAAAGCATCTCGTTTTGTTAAATCTTTAAATTCTGCTATATCAGTTTGACTTGGTGTTCGTTTTTGTAATGGCTAATTAAATTAAAAAACAATAATTAATATTCTATAAATATTTAATTTTATTAACATAAAGAAATAAATTCAAAAAATTTTCAAACAATCAACAACAACAAAATAATTTGATTTACTTTGTTCATTGGTAGTAGAGATGATTGTGTCTTCGACATTCTTGAACAAAGGTTATTCAGTATATTAATCTAAAGAAATGTCTTCTTTTAAAGCTACTTTATTCAGGTATATATATATATTGTCCTTAACTAGAGTACAAATAAAGAAATACGTAGGATGTTTATGGAAAAAAAAAACTGGAGATCATCAAGGTCATTTCTTCAAAATAAGAATTTTAATTTAAATTAAATGATACTATCAGAAAGAACATAAAAAGAAAGAACTGAAAATTTTTCATTCTTACAAATAATATTTGCCAATAGATTGTTTCTTTTCTTTAAATTTGCTTGTTCATTAATTAAATTTAAAAAACAAAACACTTTTTTTAAATCTATTAATCCAGAATATGAATTTCTATGTTGAAGGTTATATCAAATTCTATAGAATAATTGAAAATAATTATATGTTTATCAAACTTTTATTTAAAGAGGTCGCTATTAAACTTTGGCTTAGTTTTTATCATAATAGATTTCTTTCGATAATAATAATAGCTTACAAAAACAAAAAAATCTAATAATGAAAATTATTTTGATCATAATTAAGAATTTGTTCTTTTTGTTTTTGCTAATCAAATATCTTGTACCCTTGATCGTATCAGATCTTTTCAAAGATTCTCAATCGTCATAATCATATATAAAAGACATATCAGTTGTTATTATCTTATTCTAAAATTTTGAGTAAAACAAAATATGACATATTTTATTGTCTGAAACTATTTTCCAAAATTCAATCGTATAAATTTGTCAGTCTTATTAATGAAAGAATAAACAGAGAATTAAACATAAAATTTATAAAGTATGAAAATTTTTTTTTGTTTTTGTGACTAATCTAGTGTGTATATTTGAAAGATACGTATTTTGTAAGAATATAATTGATTTTAGGTTACTATACAAGATGGTTTAGAATTCAAATTTTCGAAGTCGAATTTTTGAAAAACAACAATAAAAAAGACTTTTTAGATTTTTGATGTTAATTAAACTGTTAAGTTAGATAAATATGTCTTATATATATATGATTATCAATTTAATGTCATCATTAATATCTAATACTGTTAAATAAAAAAATAAAGATCGAATGACATTTTACATTCTGTTATAGGTGATAATTATGCACAAGAATAATAATTAAAAACACAAAAAAAGAATTTTTCAGTATAGAAAAAAATCTTAATAATCTCCGACAATCACAAGTTCTTCTAACTATAATTTTTCTTCATTTAAATTTATATAAATACAAAGTGACTTGGATATGGGTAAGCATTGTTAAAACATACAACAATACGCACACCCATATCTATCTCAAAGTGTTGAGCATTAAATACTGCATTGAACCATATCCAAGAGTCATCTGATTTGACCTCTAATGCGACTTTATCGTTTAATGTCAACTAAAGTACGAATTCTTTCGTATACAATTTAAATGCAGGAATCGAAATTATGATAAATGTTTCTAAAAACAAAAATATATGAAATATTGTTTGAAGTTATAAGATATTATCTGTATCAGTTACATGATCATAAATAATTTTGAGAGTTAACTTGAAAATTGACTCATTGATTATTCTAGTTATTTTTGTTAAAAAAATATCAATCTATTTTATTGATTGATTTATTCTGGATAGATATGAAATTAGTTTTGTATGAAACTTAACAAAATACGAAATTCGATCATATTGATCTAATAGGGCTTCAATTGAATTTTAACAAAAATTTGATGATTTACAACTTGATGTAGAAAGTAAATATGAAATGATTGTTTAAAATGAGAATGTTAATATATGTCGACTGAAATATTTTTGTTTTTAAATAAAATTTAATAAATAATTATTAATATAAAAAAGAAAGTGAATTTAAAAACAAAAAAAATTTTTTTTTTTATTGAAAAATGAGTGACTATATTTATACATCAATTCCATTGGATTTAAGTGTTAAAAGTGAAATAAAATATTGTTGTGCTTCATAAATAATTCTAGCACAAGGTCCATATGGTATACCAAGTGTTTGTAATTTTCTTTCACTTATATATGGTAATTCATAAAAACCAATTTTTTCTTGTTCAAGTACAGAAACATATTCTTCATAATTTAATAAACTAAGAAAATAACGAAGCATTGCTTCAGCACCAAAAAATCTAAATGAATAATTGATTTAACATAAAACACAAAATAAAATAAATTAGAAAAAAAATAAAAAATAAAAACAAGAAATCGTTTATTTTTACTGTTCAATTTTTCGTGCTTGTCTTGGATCAATAATTGAATTTGAACGTAAAATGGTTGATGTTGATGGCATATAAGATGTTGAAATATTTAATGGATTAGTACTATTAACAGCAGCAAGACGTTGAACATTAGCTGTTATTAAACGTGATTGTTGTTGAGATGTTGTTGACATTGATGATGTTCGTCCACCAGCAGGTGTTGAACATTGTTGTCGAGGATATTGATGATAAACTTGTTGACGAAGTTCAGCTACTTCTTGACGTAAATTATAAACATCATCTTTAATAACACGTTGCATTTGAATTTGTGCTGATAATTTAGCTATTGATTCAGCTAATGTTACTATTGATGATTCAACTCTTGTAAAACGTTGATTTATTTCTCTAAAACAAAAAAAAAAAATAATTATTTATTCGAAAAAAATAACCAAAATATGAATAAATAAAATACTTCATATCATTATTTGAATGATGCATTGACATAATAGGCATTACTTTTCTAAAACGATGTTTTCGTCCAGTACGTTCAGCTTGTGATGAAGTACTTGATTTAATACTACTTCTTACTGATTCAATATCAATATCAAGTAATTTTAATAAATCATTATACATTATTTGAAGATCTATTTACAAAAAAATATTTAATAAAGAAATAATTATAATATTATTCTATATATATTAAACAAACCAGTTAATTGTTTTCGTATTTGTCCAACTTCTTTTGAACTTAAACTTGAACTATATCGAGTTATATTTGGTGTTGATGTACGAATATTTGGATGTTTACGTAATTTCGTATCACTAAATTCACTTGTTAAATCTGACCAAGCATCACTACCAAGATCACTTGGTAGAGGAGCATGACGACGATCTATTTATTTAATATATTTAAATATATAATATGTAAATAATAATAATTCTTAATATAAATTACCATATTCTTTACTTTGAGTTTCAGTAGCAGTTGTTTCTGAATCTGAATCTGAATCATAATTTTTAAGTCTAGCTGGTGGTCGATTAGTTTTTGAAATTTTTCGATTAATTATATTTGTTGGATTTGGTTTTATTGAATATTTATTTCGTTGTTTTCTCCATAGACGATTTGATTCTTTATTTGATGGTGATGGTGGTGGTGTTAATGAATTAGGTAAATTTGAAATTCTTTCTTGTTTATTTTCATATTGTTTAAGTGTTGATGTACTATCATTATTATTAATAGTTTCAACAGTTAATATTTGTGGTCGATTATTATCTCGTTCAATATAAGCTTCATTAAGTGGATCTTTAGTTGTTGTTGTTGATGGTGGTGGTTGAATTAAATTAGCTGCTGAATTAGGTCTTGATGTTGATGATGTTGGTCGTTGATGTTGAACAATAATTGTTGGTTGAACATCAACTATTTGTTGAGATTTTGTTGTAGATGATATTCGTTTTATTGTATTTGTTGGTTCAACTTGAATATGATGATGATGATGATGATTTGAATATTTTTCAACTAAATTTAACACAAAACAAAAAACTATTATTTAAGATATAATTAATATGATATATATATACCATTTTGAATAGGTTCATGTAAATATGGTAATTGATCAGTATTTTGTTGTAAAGTACTTTGAATTTGAGGATTAACACTAACTTCAGGTAATGTACGATGTTGACTATCAGTAGTTGGAGGACGTGGAGCTAATGATTGTTTACGAGATGTTATTTTTGTTATTGTTTGTTGATTTGTTTCATATTTACCTGTCTATTTAAATAAAAATAAAATAAATAAATTATTTAAAAAAGAAATAATTTACTTTTGATTTATCATTATGTTCATCTAAAGTAACATTATCAAAATTAAATCCATCTAATTGATGTAAACCAATGTCAACATTTTTAGTTGGAATACGTAATGGTGTTGATATTCTATTATTTGTATTATCATTAGATTTAATATCACTTTTAATTGCTGTTGTTGATTGATGTATTATAATTGGACCAGATCCAGTTGAAATTCTATTATGTGTTGTATTATTAGGTAATATATTTGTTGCAAATGAACTTGTTGATCGTCGTGTTAGAAGTTCAGCTGGTAATGGACCTTTTGTATTAGAAGATAATTGATAATAATAATTCGATGATGTTGTTGTTGTACCTGTATTTTGATGTGTTGTTACACGAGCTGTCATTGGTCGAGTTGATGATGATCCAGAATATATTGGACTTGAACGAATATTTGTTGTTGGACCATTATTTAATGGTTCTGGACGTAATTTATTTAATGTTTTTGTTAAAGCAACATTAACATTTTGTACAGTTGCTTCTGTTTGAGAACGAATATAACTATTTGTCTACAAAACAAAAAAAAACAAATATGATAAATATTCATTTATAGGAATTTACTTGAGAAGATGAACGTCGTCGATCATCTCTAAAATGATAATTGATCAAAAGAAAAAACGAATTAAGTTAGACAACGTAAATTTTTATTTACATGTGTTGATCTTGAGTTGTATATGTCGAAAGAAATTCTTTGACAGGTTTAAGTGGTCGTTGATGAATTTGTGGTTGAATATGATTTGGAGGCTAGAAATAAAACTAAAATAATATTGAATAAATAAAAAAAAAAAAAAAAACAAGGATAAATATTATTTACAGAATGTGAACGTGTATAATTATCATCATTTTTAAGACCAAATGATGTTAATGGTGTACCTTCAGTAAAAACACTTTGATATCGTTTTGGTAATGAACCACTTGAACCTCCTGAATTTGTTGATATATGTTGAACATTTAATGGTGTATCACCTTTTCGATTTTCTCTTTCCTTAAAAAGATTTGAAAAAAAAAGAAATCCAACAAATAAATATGTTCAATTGAAATATTTTCTTCATTTTTATACTACCGAAAATAAATACATATGCGACTTTTTCTTTTTTTTTTTCACTATAATAAATCTCTACACTTGAACAATTCATTTTGGTTGAGTTAGAAAAAAAAAAAAAATCAGGTGTCGATTTAATAAACTGAGTAGAGTAGTCGAATAAATATCTGAATATGTTTATATAAGGTAGTTTAAAATGAAAATTGATGAGAGAAGAAATTGACAAGAAATAACACTCGATAAAATATTATTAATTAAAGGTTGTTTTTTTTTCTGTACCTTATATTTGCGAAGATCAATTGTAATCGGTTTAGCTGTATGAGTTGTACTGGCCATTTATTTTAATTTATATATTTATATTGAAAAAAAGAAAAACGTGATCATTATTTTCGTTTTCATCATTAATAATGTTCGAAGTAACAGCAAGAGTACTTCGACAGCATGCTGCATAATAAAACAAATATAAAAAGAAAACGTTTGTTTGAGAGTCGAAAGAGAGTGAGAGAGATTGTCTCTTGAAAAATACAAGTTGTATGTGAATGAGCGAAAAAGAATAAAGAATGAGCTAACGAATTTGTTTATTTCCTTATGCATCGCGACAGTATGATTTATTTCATCGTCGTCTACATTTTCAACAAAAAAAAAAACGAAAGGACAAAGAGAAAAAAAAAAGGCGATACTCTTTCTATGAAAAGATATTGTGTTTCAATTGAAAGTGTATGTTTCTTTTTATTCATTTGACTTCAATATGCTTTTTTTTTTGACTTTGAAAAAAAACATAAAGACATATAAAAGAAATAAAACTTATTGAAATATTTATTATTATGCTAAACTTGTTATTTATCAGGATTCAATTTTGATTATTAGTTCTTTTTTTATCACATAACAATATTAAATATAGATTATTTTAAACAAATATTTATCAGAGATTTCAAAGTGTTACATTTATTTGTTGAAATATCTTTCATTTAATCACAATTATAATTAGACCATTGATTTTATTTACTTTTTTTTTTTAAATCTTATTCATATTGATATATAAAATTTATTTTATTTATTTATTTATTTAAGTTAACTATCATTTATATTAAGTTGATTAACAGTATCGCTATGAAAATCAATCGAACCTGTTCAAATTAATGATGTACGATATATAAAGTCTATGTGATATTCATCACGGAAATATCTTGATGAATATCTGACTAGAATGATCGATAAGAATTTGTTTCTGGTAGATGAAAAAAAAGAAAATTTCATAGGAATCGATTTAAGACAACGAATTTCAAACTGTTATACAATCACGTTCATATTCTATAATTTATTATGTTAATTCATAGAAGTTTACAGGATAAATATAATTATTAAAATAATATCTTATTTCTTTAGAATTTTAAACAATAAATTTAACTATATTTTCATCAATTTTATATTCATTATTAACGTTATAATGACTGAATGATAATATTTAAATAGAAAAAAATTTTTATTTTGATTATTTTATATTCTTGTTGATTATGGTAGATTTATTTAAATGAAATATCATTTTATTAATAAATTGTAAAACATTTTTGATACATAGTTGATTATTGTTCATATTTCAATAAATAGAATATATGCTTTTATTTGAAAAAACAAAAAAAGATTTTTTCTATTTCAAATTTTTATAAATAAAATAACTTATAAAGGAATTTTCGATGTTTAACTACATTTATCTGTCGATCTTGTAAAATAAAATAATCATCTATCATTTGGAAAATTTTAGCCTATAAATCAATTCTTTTTTTAAATTTATAATGTTGTTTAAGAATAACGCCTGATATTTGGAATGATGCAGTTGTTAAAAACTAAATATAAATCCACTATATGAAAATAAATAAAGATCAAGATTAAGATCCTTTGCTTCGATAACCTATTATCTCAAATATTTTCTTAATAAAGTTCTATGAGAAAAATCCACAATAATGTCATTCCAAAATTATGTTGCTTAGAAACAACCATCAATAATCTTATTTATGTTATATTTTAAGAGAAGAGGTCACTTTTTCAACTCAATCAAAAGAATTATGATTATTATTCTTTGATTATTTTTTTAAAATACAAGTCTAACGTTCTTTTCTAATATTGATTGAAATCAAATACGTGCACTGAAATATTGTTGATTGTAAAAAGAAAATTTTTTTTAACAATTATCTCCTAAGTTAAATCGAAAATAAATATAAATCAAAAACATTTCTCATCAAAAAACAGCATTATTAAGACTTGACAGATCGTCCTTCTATCTCCGATGGTAGGTAGAAGAATAACCAATCTTTTCAAAGTGTTGATAGCAAACAAAAAAAAAATGACAAGTACTTGAATAAAATTCTGTATTGAAATGCGTTCATATCCGATAAGAGTATATCATATTTAATTAGTCATCAATGAGACGAATAGAAATTAATTTAAAATAACATAAAAATTCTAGAAGAAATACTTGTCCTAAATCTGATTTCCACTTAATTTATTTCTAAGGAAGATAACTGAAAGTCAATATAGGATTCATATGAAGAATTTGAGAAAAAGAACATGAAGAAGAAAAGTAATAGTTTTTATCAGAACAAATTGAACCTATTGATTATATTTTTATAAGTAGATATACATATAGCTGAATAAATATTTCTCTTTGTCCTAAGTAGGGTGTATGTATCAGTTGTTGTGAATATGAATGAGTAAGTATATGGAAGACTGATTAAATTAGTGAAGTGGATAACTAGAGAAAGAGGCACAGGTACATCAGCAATTACACTGAAATCCACATTCGGACGTTCGTTCATGCATGCATATGATAGTGGTATCAATTGCCTTTGTAAAATAGTGTATTATAGTGGAAGGATTGAATATTCAGTTGAAGGTGAGACGAATTCCATCGAGAAGTATTACGTGTTTATGTTAGATGAATAGAAATAATTATAAAAATGTTGTATACGATAGAAAGTCTTTATTTAAAAAGAAAAAAAAAACTTTTTAATATTGTGTTTTAATTGTTTGATTGATCGCAAAATAGAAAGTAGATTATGGAACGTGCAATAGACTGAGAGCAGGCATTGAAATTTCACTTTTCGTCTATTCGGATGTCCAAATAAATAGATTAGTCATTTGATCGACCAAAAAGCTAAACTTTCAGCTCTTGA